CGGCGAGAGCGGTTTGGGCTGGGGAGGGAGGGCAGATGTGGGCTGGGCTGACCAATATCCTTACACGTGATCTGGGATTCATCCTTGTAGTAAAGAGTGAAATATGTAGACTGAATGAGTCACTCAAAGTGTAATCCTCATCTTGATCAATCTTGTATATTCCATTAAAATAAAGACCAAAATTAAACTGATTCTCTGATCATCAGACTTGAATCTTCTCACTGGCCTCTACAAAAGCATATTCAAGCTGGATCTTGAAATAAGGCTAAGAAAAGATGACTACTGCATGATAGTAAAGCTCATCTCAATTCCTGTTCTCGTAGTTTTTGGGGTTGGGGTTTTGTGTTTGGTTTGTTGTTAGGTTGGTTTTTTTTTTAGTTCCTAAGTGTGAGTCTTGCTTGTATATTTGAACCCTGATGGGTAAGCTACTCTTAAGTAGATGTGTGGTCAGATAGTAAGTGTTGTTTTAATGATGTGATATTTAGTGGGCAGATGTTTCCGGACCCAGTTGCCTGTTAGTAGGAAGTATGCGACGGCCTTAGGAACTATGAGGCTGTAGTAAATAATATTTTGTAGTATGGTTATATTTCTTACACAAAGGCAACACAACAAGGATACTCTGATAGAAGGAACATGGAGCTTTCTCTCACTTTTGTTTCCACTGCTTGTGATTAATTTCTTCAGTAGTTTGGATGAAGGATGCTGTTGTAGTCTTGTTCTATCGTAACAGTAGCACTAGCAAGGATGGCTACAACAGAATGATTACTGCTTCCCTTTGTCTTTCCTGTTCATACAGCCTACACTGGTGGGACTTTATTGGGAGGAGGTGTATTGAGAAATGCAGATCCTGTTAAAGTCAACTTCACACTGTTCTTTCTGAGTATGTAGAAGTCATAACATGCTAAATGAGCTGCAATGACTTTTAGTCTCCCTTTCGGTAAGGCTTAATGTGAAAGCAAAAACATGCCTGGGTTATTAGGATTTATTGCTGTAGAAGGCTTTGGAAACTTAACCCAGGCAATACTTTTCACTGTAATTTCACAATGAAACAAAACTGATGGTAGCATCTACATAATTTTGTTCTTGTTTGTAGGCAGTACTCTGTGTTGGCCATGGTGTCCTTACAGCTAGGCAGCGAATTGAGCCAGGGCCTGCAGAACACAGACATTGACAAGACAGAAAAGGAATGGCGCTACCTGTAATATTACTAATTGAATATTCTTATTTATTTGTTTGGGGGGGTTTCTAATGGTTTGGAAAGGGTCAACTTGTTTGAGTTTGTGCTCTTACTACTCAGTATAACAATGCATCTCTTCCAGTCCTAACTTCCGAAAAATTGTCGTTGTGTTAAATCAGTGGAAGTCTTCCTATTGCCTTCAAAGAATAAGGACTTCTGTCCCAATGTGTAGCAGATATATTTTGTTCACATATAGTATTTGCAGAGCAGTATTTCATACAGAAAATATTTTAGTAGCAGAGCTATCAATTTGGAACAAGTGAATTCTACTCTCTGGCCACTGTAGAAATATTTCAAATACCTGAGGATGAAATATCTCTGTAAAATATCTAGTAAATTGTCATTACTACTACAAAATCAAAACATTAACATATTACTAAATGGGAAAAAAAAAGAAAAAAAAGCTCTGATAGGAATCCTTGGCTATGTAGTACTTAATCTCAGAACTAGAATTTAGTTTTCAAATGTTGATGTTGCATTTTACATAGTTAAATCCCCAACCAATGTATTGCTAGCAATTTATCCTGCTGACCCAAACATGAATTCAGTCATGCAATGTTCTTCTTTAAAGAGCAAAAAGTCAAAGAGACTGCAGATACAGTGACCCTCTCTTCCTGCTCCCATTCCACTTTCTTTTTAAAAACAATAGACTAGTGATTAGATACATCAGGCTGCTTTCTCCTCATTTCCTTTTCCAACAGGCTTTTTTGCAGAGGTTGAAGTTTGAAGGCCTAACTATATTTTCACTTCAAATACATGAAAAACCTACATATGCAAAGGGAGTTTTAAGGAACAAAACTGAAATAAGTGAAATTCTAGATGACTTAGATTGGCTTTCTGATTATCAGTAACAAACCAACCCCCCAAAAACTGTAAGTAAGCAGGAAGTCTTACTTTTTGATGAAGAACTTGAGGCCTCATGTACATAAGAAATGTTCTTGAGAAACTCAAAATTAGGAACATCCATTGCTATGTAATATTTATTTTTTCTGTGTAAGACCTGTTGAAAAATATAATGCTGCTTTGAAGGAATTTGAATAAGGAACGGGTCATGTTCTGTGTTAGCTGGAATGAGAGTTTGCTCTGTGCATGAAGCAGCTTGTCTGCAGACTCAGGAGGATGACAAGGAAACAAAAGCAGTCATAACTAATAGTTCTAATAGGGATGGGGGAGGAGGGTAGTATGTGGCTGTCACACTCTGAGATGCTTGTTTCTACACGGCCTTGAAAGGTAAAGGTGAAAATCTGGTAAGGAGGAAGAGAAACTGGAAATGAAAACTTTAATTGCCTACTCAGGGATAAAATCTTAAACCTTTCACTCCTGCGTCCTTAACTAAATCTATTGCTGTAGTAGGACAGAACTAATGGTACAAAGTGGCATACAAACTGGTAACAGCCTGGGGCACGCTCTGCTATCAGTAAGAACTGAGGTGATTACAGAGATGTGTACACCGCTTGGGCTATGCATCTACAATAGGAATTAAGGGGAACTGACTAAAGATGTGATGATAACATGTATAATAAAAGATGTTAAACCTTGTGTGGACACTCTCATTCAAAGGTAAGGTAGCTCGTTTTGCCAGAGCCTAATTCTCCAAAAGATTAAAGACTGTTTTACCTTTGACTTGAGAGGGCTTAAGTGGGCTTAAATCTGAGTGACTGCCCGCAGACAAGCTCTTAGTTCTGAGTAACTAACCGTGGCCCTAGGCCAATCATCCTCCAAATGTATCTTAACAGGAGGATAAAGAAACTGTTTTGGCTTTCAGTGGAGCAAAATAAATCAAAAATAACAGTTCTCAAAAGTTCTGACTTTGGCTATTGTAATAACTTGCCAGGCAGAGCTAAAATAAATGTGCGTCTCAGTCCTAAAATACTGTTCTTCATATGCTCAAGTGATCACTGGCATAATGACAGTATTGTATGAAGAATTAAATAGACAAGCTCTAAACAGCTATGGGAATTGTTATAATGACATCAGTGTAGAAGGAGCTTATTGCTAGAGTTGAATAGTGGCGCTTGCTTCCTGGACACTAACCTTTCTCCCTATTAATTCTTGACATGGAAGGAATTAATACGATTCCCACAGAATAGCTTCTTTATATGGCTTTAGGAATTTAATTAGAATAAAAGAAACAGTATTATCCCTAAAGCTACTTTGTTGCTGTTGGCTTTACAATAGAACTTCTGCCTAAACTGTCCCTGTCTCCTGATTCACTTCCTGCTATAAACTTAGCAAA